AATAAAAAAAATTTCGTGTTTTCGAAATGGAAGTTGGTGTTTACACTCGAAATTATATTTATATTGAGCACATTTTTCTTTCAAAGGCTTTTTCAGAAACACCCTATCATGCGAATTTTCAAGAACTTTCCAGGTGGATTTATATTTTTGCAACGCAGTGTATAAATCCATGCCTTCTCCTAAATGAGCTTTCAAATGAATCAGCGAATCAGAAGCGCGCCCGAGGCGTGGCGCACACCAAGGCAGGGGATGTAGTGCAAGCGCATGCTCGAAGCTTTCTAACACATCCTATGTTCAACAGAAATTGCTCTTCCCTGGAGGTTACGGCCAGTGAAACCTAAAAAAAACCCGCGTTTTTTTCAAAATGACTCGACTGGAAGAATGCATCACAAATATGCACCCCTTCTTGGCTTTGGCGCCAAAACTTCTACATAGGAGTTGTTTGGTGTTCTGGTTACGGTTTGACTCCTACTCTCGTGAGCACTCTCACTTATAGCGCCTATGACTAGTTTAGTGGAGAGTGGTGAGACTCCAGAGTGGATAAACTACACATTGTGCGGCAAAATGAAGTATGTGGGATCACAGGGTGAGTGGATTATTCCTTTGAACCCTCCACTTTCCAAAGGCTCAGTCCTATTGTGATCTAATTAGTGAGAGGAAGCAGATAGCGCCAGCGCCAAAAATTTATGTTAGGAAAGGCTTCCGCTAAAAATTTTTGCCTCTCACCTCCTAAATCACTTTGGAGGTCCTTAAGGTTTTGGTGAACAGCTCCTGTTGAAGTGGCAGATATGAGCTAGCCGAATAGAATAAGTAGTGGCGGTATTTGAATATTCGTAATAGTTGCAAACAAAGAAGTTTTCTAGGGATCAGGAATAAAATCGTGTCGAGGACGTGGTTACATCACTACCAACCGGGGTCTTGATACGACCCCTCTAACTTTGATTTGATGTGAATAAGCGAGTTCCATCAATGTACAGCAAAGCATTCAGTTGCAGCGCGGTTTATCCGTGGGTCAGATTTGCCGAAACCCCGCTCGAAACCGTCGAAATCTACACTCTCGATGAAAAGGTTCCATTCCCCCATTTCATAACCTTTGGAGCAGTATGTGGTAGGGTTAGATAGAGCTGGATTTGCTACTACCGGGCAATATTGAAATTGATCTAAAATCTTTACACTCGAAGAGATAGGGTCTCTCAAATTTTGTCGAGGCAGCGTCGAGGATGCTGAATTTTTCATGCGAGTTTTTGCCACTTAAAAGGCAATATCTCTCTAATTTCGTAAGACTTGAAAAAAGGAAGAGTTTTGGAAAGCGGAAGGTTTGCGCTTTCTAACAGTCTGTTTAGCTTTCTTCTACATTTTTTAGTTGAGGAGATATTTGCGTCGAGGATCTATCGAGGATGATTCTCGGCCGCTCAAAAAGCCGCTCCCTTCTTCACCATTGCAAGTGTAATTCGTTGGCAACGCTCGAAATGTGTCTAGAATAAATTCTTCCAACATAAGCAATAAGAAAAGGGGCAGTCATCATAATTCGTTCGTATAGGCCATGCATCCTACCTCCACTCATAGTTGTGGAATCTATTGAAAGGTGTTATACATATGGTGATGACGGTCTGACAGAAGAGTATTGTAGTAAGCACATTTCGTAACTCCTGTAACCTAAGGAACAGCTTCTTTTGTCCAGAGTCTCCCCAGAACTATTGTCATTTTTGCGACAGCAACCTTAACAACAGTGTCATTCTCGACGAGGTATTGGGGAGAGGGAGCGGGCGGCAGGTAGAGGAGGTGCCTTTGCTAAGGTGTACACTTGAGGCCCCGTTCCTTGCAAAGTTGCACTCTCATTCTTTGTGGTACTTTCAAATACTTCCTTCTCGAAGGTAAAGGGATGGAGTGACTAAAGCTGTAATAAGTATTTTATATGACATTTTCTCAATATCCTTGTTTTCTACTGCGCTACACCCTTCTATCTGCCACTGACACTACTCACTGACGTTACTGACCCCATGATACGACACCTTGCAGAAAGGCCGACCGTCGGGATTTCCTCGACGAATATTCATGGCGGGACTTGGATGGTAGCCTGATTGCTTATGTTCATGAAAAAACAAGCAAGTTGTGAGTTCCAAGCTCGATCAACGAATGCCAAAAGATTTCAGTACACTCGGGAAGAAAGGACTGCCGCAGTATCTTCGAATTATCTATGAATGAAACCGAAAAAAAGGTCCAGACCTTTTTGATGATTAGTACACATTTCTGAGTGGTGAATGATTTTTATTATTGTTAGGCAAAGTTGTGAGTTAGGAGGCTTTGTTCACGCAGCCAAATTTTACGGAAGCTTTGCCGTGAGCGCACGGCGGCTCCATGAAATGCACAAAAGGTAGGTACTGCATTTTGGGCGGTTTTCTTTCACCCAAGCATTTTGTCTTACCTGCACCATTTTGGCGGCCCATGTCTTCCCCGTGGCCTTCTCTATAGCCCGATATACCGTACCATAAGCACCTTGTCCAAGTTCTTCACAAATGAGATACTGAATTAAGAAAGTGAGTGCTTCAAAACAGACACCTAAAAGATAAGCAGTAGCAGCACCAACTTTTTGCCTGGAGATCGTTTGGTAGTCGATTAATATTGATTGCCCTGTGCTTCGTTAAGTCCACTTTTGCATCGAGCCGGTCATAATTGACTGCCTCACTCTCCTCCTGTTCATCAGATCTCTTCTTTGGCTCTTCCACAGCACGAGAGACATCCTGAACTGAGTTCGATGACACTGGTTGGCAAGGGTGCTTAATGAAGCTCAATGGACAGGCTGACTTCCACACTGCCACGTGTTTTGAACCCCAGCAGCAACAAAGGCAGTGCCCATTTTCAAGAGCCGTTAGGTTGGATAGCTTCTTTCTCATACTTTAGCTCTGAGTCGTATAATGAATTTGCCAGAGACTATGAGCGAATGGGCGGAAGTGGTAGTGACAAGTGGCGCGCTTACCACGCGAGCGGTCCGGGGATCAAATCCTGGGTCGTGAGTCGCCCGGGCCAACCAAGCCTTCCATCCCTCCGGGGTCGGTTAATTGGTACCAGACTTGTCTGGGAGGATAAAAAACACTGACTTGTACATCGGCTGGCCCCGCAAGTCATTGTATAGGCCACATCGCATTCAAACGCCACTACGAATGTACAAATGGAAGTAGAATGCGTGCCGCATCCCAAAAAGGGATTGATCAACGGCAAATGCTTTATCCTTTTATCCTTTATGAGCGAATATCCCAGAAGAAGTGGAAGAACAGCCTGGTCTCGGAAACTCTTTTATGAACTTCGACACACATTTTGTGCTTTTCAGGGATTGATTATTGTATTGAGCTCTAACAAGACATAACACTTAATGAACGATTTGTTTTTCTGAAGACGGCGTCTTCTTAACTACTGTTGGCGATTCCCAGACGCGAAGAGCGGAACATGGTGAGATGTGTGTCCCTGGAGGCGCTGTTATCTAGCCTAACAATATGCCACATTGCATTTCAGTCGCAAGAGATTGAGTACGTCGTTGCAATCTTAGCACTCACCTTCACATAGACGATGTCCGATTCTTCTGATGGCTCTGATTGTCCCAAAACGTTGTCAGCTCTAACACGAAATAGATAGGTCTCATCACTGCTCAGGTTAAACAGGGTGACGAACGGCTGCTTCGTCGTTTCGGCCTTCGTCCACACATTTTCAGACACCTGCGAGGAATACTGTCAGGGGGTACTGATTCACTGATTTCATGCATTAGCTTGGACATCAGCCTGCGAAAACGAACACATTCAGAAACTCAACTCTTCAGGAACAAACACCTATTCACTTCATTGAGCAAGCTCTAATCCGAGCAGCATCACAAGAACCCAGCCATTCTCACTGAAGTCTGACAGGCTTAACATCTCATCAACATCATTGTAATCGAACGTTTTCGACCCGTGCCACAGAGGGTGGCATTTGAGAATTGAAACTGGGAAGCACGCATTCCACGTTCACTTGAGAAAGTAGAGCGCAAAACTCACGTACCGTACACTTCTCCACCGTATAACGTAACGGACAGGTGAGCCGCCCGACGTTGGTGTAGCTCGAGCCGCACTTCGACCAACATTAACCATGCACTGAGTGCACCGTTTGGTCGCTGCACCCCAGAGGTCTATCCCCGGCGGGTCAGGTACGATCGGTAACCTCTGCCAGAGGCGAAGGTCGGTACTTATCGATCAATCATGGTCCAACGCCCCGCGGATTTCAAGAGCGGTCCATCCATAAAGTAGACATTTCCGGTCATCTGCACGGAATCATTGTATCAAGGAGAGCCCAAATGGATTAGTTCTATGCAACTTACTGGCCTACTTGTGGTACCTTCAAAAAACACTAATAACCGAGTCTCTCCTCCTTTTAACAATGATTCAGGCATACAGTCCCACTCCTGACTGAAAAATTTACCATCTTAGCGGCCTGCCAGGTTCAGTGAAACAAACCGCGTAGTATTTAGCTTGAGATGGTAGAACAGACAATAATACGCGCACTCAAAAAAGCACGGCAGTCAATACTCGGCGCATGGCTAATCGAGGGACCAGACCGGCAGGACGATCGTCGCGCGTGCATTGGGGTGATAGGCTTCGATATGATGCGCGAAACTAGAGTCGGCTAGTTGCGCGTGCTGCAACCCGTTGTCGGTACGAATGTATTCCACATCGTACAAGTAGCGGGCAAAAGTCTTCGCCCGAATTTAGTTCTTTCCGACACCCGCTCCACAAAACTTTTTTCCCTGCCCCGAATTCAAATCCAATTCAAATGTTTACCCTAAGTTTTTAGACGGTAGTCGCGTACTTCCACTTAAACGGCATATTTGTTTCGGATTGAGAAAGAATTAAGAATGGAAAAAATCATTTCACTAGAAATTCTCGCGTATGAGCAAATTCCAAGTAGGTTTCAAATTACTCTAGCAAGCTTACAATTCAACAAAACAATCTTACGCATGATGAATAACACTGGGCAGGTCCAATACTTTGTTAATGATCTTCTGGGTTCGCTGAAATACTAACAAGGCCTAAGGTAAGGAATCAATCATTGAATGCACTGTCTACTAGGGCAGCTTCCTCCACTTTTCTTAAAATCTGACAAGTTTCTCGCCCATATCCCGGCTCTTATTTCCACCATAAGTATCCCTATCCTTTCCCATAATGTTTCGATGGCGCTCGGGACATTGGTGTGAATTGTTCCCTTCGTTGAAAGCGCGCCATGCTGTCGAAACCAATCCTTCACAGTGAAGGTGCGATGCTTTTGGTCGCTCTATAGCTAGAAGGCGAACTCAGTCACGTACAGTTTCATACGAGCGGATACGAAACTCCTTCTAGAATCTATCTGTACGTCGGCTGTCGATCTGCCGCATTGGCACCGCCACTGTCCTCACAATACAACTGGCTGGTGCCCACCGATTGTGTACACAAGACTCCGTTCTTTAAAAGGACTACCAGCAGCGCGACGCTCTCCGGCCAAGTTGTATCATTTACGACTTAGTTACCCATCTTTGGATCGCAAACGAATGTTTCGCCAGGCCGCACACCGCCCTCCCATCTCTATTTCAGTCGTCCGGGCAAACCATCCTTCATGAATTCACCTCGTTGGATTTCCCGGCACAGGACGTGCGTACGCCACTTCTTTGCTCCCACCACCCACCTATGGGATCCCCACTTTAGGTGTGCGTGAAGCACATTTCGCCCCCGACCAGATCACCGCCGCCGACTAACTTCGCAGTATTCGCAATCATGTGAAGGCAGCCTATACAGTTGGGTTCTAGAAGGAGCTCTTATCCACGTGTATGACAGCTGCCCGCGACTGAGCTCGCCTTCTAGCATTAGTGCGACCAAAAGCATCACACCTTCACTGTGAAGGAGTGGCTTCGCCAGCATGGCGCGCTTTCAACGAAAGGAACAATTCACACCAATGTCCCGATCGCCATCGAAACATTATGGGAAAGAGTAGGGATACCTTTGGTGGAAATTAGAACCAGGAATATGGGCGAGAAACTCGTCAAATTTCAAGAGAAGTGGAGGAAGCTGCCCTTGTAGACACAGTGCATTCAATGACTGATTCCTTACTTAGGCCTTGTTAGTATTTCAGCGAACCCAGAAGATCATTAACAAAGTATTGGACCTGCCCAGTGTTATTCATCATGCGTAAGATTGTTTTGTTGAATTGTAAGCTTGCTAGAGTAATTTGAAACCTACTTGGAATTTGCTCATACGCGAGAATTTCTAGTGAAATGATTTTTTCCATTCTTAATTCTTTCTCAATCCGAAACAAATATGCCGTTTAAGTGAAGTAGGACTATCTCTAAAACATATTAAAATTTGAATTGATTTGATTCAGCGGAAAAAAAGTTACAGTCGAAAAACAATTTCGGCGAAGACTTTTGACCGCTACTGTATATATAACATGACATGACTATAGTAGCTCTGTAACTTGTACAGACTCCGAGTCTTGCCGCACGACGAGCCTCCTGGTACACCTGCAACAGGGCACCTTCACGACCTTTGAGAAGTGATCACGCCGACTTCCAGGTGGAGCTGCTGACTACGCGTTATACCGATAAGATCTGAGATAAACGGGTAATGAGCGTAATCATGAGAGATACGATACGATAACTTAAAGCGAGAGATTGCGATAGGATTCTGTTGTGCTCATAGTGGAAGTGAAGATGCTGAATAATGCCCTAGTAGCGAAAAAAGCAAAGAAATCCGTCAAAAACGCGCAAAATGGGACCACTTCCTCTGCCCGTTGACCTCCGATAATGGACGAGTTGGCAACCAACTAAGAGGTCGTCGGCACTCGTTAAACCATAGCTGCCATCATACCACCAGAGATCATACCTTGATTGATATAGCATTCCATGAGAAAAAAATTGGATACGCGCTCGAAGTGGCATACCTTATCAGAATGATAATCGAACAGCGATCTGCTGAGGGGCGGAGCACAGGCGGAGGCGGAGCTCAGAAAGGATTGGCAGCCCCAGGGCGCTGCAACGAGCGCACCTTTAGTCACAAAAAGGCCACATCTCGATTCCTTTGGGCTCTAGCTACTGCTTGAAGTGCTGCTCGTTCTTCCATAATGCACAGAAATTTTATCGTAATTTCTCGCTTTAACGAAGAAACGTCTGCCGAATGCAGTGCAGTCCAGAATGAAATCGAACAATAACGCTGTTATTAACCCCTTCCATGTCTCACACGCAGGTGTACTGTTCCCCAGCATGGTGGCCGGAAAGTATAGGACGCGGCTTTGACCGCTTGCTGGCACTGAGCCGTGGAGTATTTTCAGAGTGTTTCAAAACTCTTCGAAAGCTTTGAAACTATGTAAGAAGCACCATAAGTTGTTTGGTCCAAAGTTCATCTGAACTCTCGCCATGAAGATTTTTTTGCATCGACCCATTACCAAGAGGCTGCCCAACGACGGTCTCTGTATTCCCTCCTCAGCTCCTTGAAATATATTCGGTGCTCTCAAGGTTTGAAGCACACGTCTCTGGGATTGCGAAAAGTGGAAGTTCAAGAACTGTGCACACTCAGAGGATTGGGGCAATCACCTAGAAGAGGATGGCTCACAACGATGAAGCCAGCGTGAGTCACATCGCTTTTGATCTCAGGATCTGCCGTCACTCCTTCCAGAAAATCTTGGGAAGCAATCATTATTTGAAGAGGTTACCGACTCTTTCTATGCTGGTTTTTATTGGAGCAACCCGAATAGATTCAACTGATAAAATGCAAAAAGTTTCTGCACGAGCTCGAGGTGCGCCGCATCTCTCTACGGATTGGTAATGAGAAAATTCGCTATTAAATACAGTTGTTACCAAAACGCGAGAGCAAGTACACCTAGTTTACAACAGACTTTCTCCCGAAGGTGTGGTAGTTTGTGACGGGGTAACATCCAAAAGTGCAGCTCCATTGGAGTTCATCTTCCACAAATGTTAAAATTAACTCGAAGGTCTTGCAAAAGACTTTAATGAGGTACGGTATGTTGTTCTAAATTTACGAGTATTTTGCTCAATGATCGCTTGCTTTTCAACTAACACCTTGACGACAGTGCGGCAACTATGTATGCCGCCATTTTTGCACCTCATGGACATTGTGGCAACTATGTATGCCACACCCTTACATTTTTTTTCGCACATGCTCGATTTCTTCCCAGGTTTTTTGTGTTCATTTTATAGGCCATACATCAACATAACCAAGAACCACGTGGCTTACAGAATGACCAAATATTCTTTAGTTTGGCAGAGGTTTTCCGGACCTGACGAAAATATCCGTTCATTCCTCATTTTCTTTTCATTAACACGAACATGTAGATAAAAAAGAATATAGAAGTGAGTACAAAGCTACTCGTGTGGCAAGATATGTGTTTTTACTGAAACAACCACGTCCAAATTAATTTTGGAACCACTAAAGGGAAAGTAAGTAAAATTTGCCTTTTCATGGCCTTAACACGTCATTTCGGTCGAACTTCCATTACTGTAACTCCCGATAAGTTAGACAGATCGAACATTATTGAAAACACTTCATCGCATCTAAGTATTGCGTATTTACAGCTCAAAATCCATGGATTTGGTGTGCGGCGGCGCGCTCGCAAAATCGCTCTGGTCCCACGCGGTGCAAAAACACAAAACGCGCGATGTCGTCAACGTGTTAAGCTGGTCCCTAATACGCGTTCAAATCGACGAAAGCCATCTGTGCGCTCATGCCCTGGGTCACTAGCGGGCATGGAATTGTGCCTTCCTCTCAGGCACTTAACCCCCAGGGTCTCCTCTATGTGAGGATGTCTTGTTAGAGCAAGACCTGGCAGGACTCTTCATGAACTCGTGTCCGCTACAGAAGCATGACCGCATTCAGAAAGAGGTCGTGGGACGACCTTCCGGCCGCGTTGAGCTCTACAAGCCGCCTCACTGCGTACGGTTTGTCGTTGAACCGTCAAAAGAAGAAGCCCTCTTCTCAGAAGCAAAGTCCCGCGTCCAAATCAAAAACACCTCTGCAACAGTGATCATTATTAACACTATATTGTGACAAGCTTCATTTTTGCTACCGAACATCTCCCTTCTTCCTGGCCTTTTTAACACAACAAAAGCAACGCGTCCTTCACACTTTTCGGCCACCCTGTATATGTTGAACATATACTGAAATTGGAACAGTTGGAATACAGGGAAGATTAGCATGCCCTTTGCGCAAGGATGACACGCGAATTCGCGGTGTAATTGCTTACGGAAGTGGGTTTCGGCGCCTATGCGCCGCTGATAGGGTGCCCCTAGACCTGCTCATGGCTCGTTCCTATTACGAGTAACTTTCTCGATATCTATGACCTCCCAATGGGATTTACCACGTCCACTTCCTTTAATCATACGCTGAGCAGACACACAGCATTAACGAATTGGCGACGAAGCATTCCTGGGTGTTCCCTAAAATTGCGTCCTAATGCTGGAAGGCTTCTACACGGTTTACATTCCAAAACAATGAGAACTCAATGCGGCAACTGTTGAAGCTTCATTTGGTATGAACAAATTCTTAGTGGTCGCGCTCGGAAAATTCCAATTATCCACTGTAATTCAAATGGTTGAACACAAATCTTTCTTTGCCAATAGTTGTACCATTGACCTAGCTAACTGCAAGCAAAAGGCAACTTCATACATCAAAAAACAAGCTTAATTAAAGGAAGCATTTTCGAGCATCCCTGTAAAACACTCACAGTGAAAGATGTTCAAAAACATGGCCATCATAAGTTTTACAACGTATTTCTGGAAAAGGTATGTAGCACCGCTCAAAATTTGGAATATGCCCAAAAGAGTAAGAGGAAATTTTGCGAGTATCCCCTGGCATCGAGCGACAGTGGCGATAATATGTTAACGTGGATTACACATCGCCGAAAAATTAAAAAAAAGAGGACTCAAAGAGGCTCATCAAGACTGAATGGAAGAAGATACATATGCTAGAAATTGATTGGGCTTGCTAAGAATCCCCTAGATGTAGCACTGCGGACCGGAGTAGAACGCCCCGCTCGAAATCCTATTTCAAGGAAGATAATTTGAAGATAAATACTTCGTTTTTAGGCACTCTTGAATGACGCTGTAAAGGAGCATATTTCATTAGAAAACCTGACCAAGTGTTTCTACCGATCAAAAACTGCACGGATGAAATGAACAAATAGTGAAGGGAGTGCTCAATTAATATCTCCAGATAGCATAAAAGTACTGGTACCCGCAACTGCATGGAAGAACAGCAAGTTGAACACTTTAGTAGATGTCTTCATGATTACATCTACTCGGGAGTGGTTTTGAAGCTCGGAGGTGTTCCAACCAGTATAGAACACACTCAACGGTCCTAATTGCTTTTCCGTTCCCCTATACTTCACCCATAACCTTTTGTAAAAGCACTTTTGACATGGATGGATACAATATTCAATTGAAAAGTGATGGCTGGAATTTGTTAGGTTAGAACATAATATAGCGTGCCCTGCGAGCGTGCAAATTTAGTGAATATAAGTATAACCCCGATATATACAGGGTGTCCCAAAATTACTTGCGCCAAATTTCAAAAATTCATTGGAAAAGGTATATCGATTATTTTCATTTCGGGCGCTACTAAATAGTTGTGCAGGTAGGTTCTCTTGTGAACTGCATCGTTATTGGGGTAAAACTGCCAGTATCTCTGAGATGGCGAGAGGTGATCCAAGGTGACCTGCGATCATTCGCGTGCGCGAGCAAGAGACTGCATCTTAGGACATTGTTAAATTTCTTGGTGTTCCCGTGAACACAGTAAAGGTGGCCAACAAACGATGCAGGAGAATAAGAACACTCATTCACAAGCCTGTACAAGGAAGAATGGTCAGCGTGTTCACGGATAGAATCAACGAAATGTTTGCTTAGCAATCCACGGTGCTCCATCAGAAGGATGGCGAGGCCGCTGAATTTATCGAAGTCATCGATGGGGCGCATCATTAAGGAGAAGCAGCACTACAAACTCTATCACATGCAGAAGTGCCGCTTCATTCTGTTCAGCAACAAACAGCAGAGAGGCCAAAAGTTGGAAGGTTACTAGCGCGCTTCACTGGCGACACGCAACTCTCGATCGTTTTTTCTGACGAGAAAATATTCGCTGTGGAGCCGGTGTTGAATAGCCAAAGCGATCACATTCTAGTCAGAAGTATCGGGAGTGTCATCTCACGAGGGAAGATTGTTGAAGAACGGCTAACTCGGCATCAGTAATGAATTGGGTGTGAGTCGCGGCCAATGATGAGATGCCGTTGAATTTTGCCGATTCATGTGTGAAGATCAGCAAGGACGCGCGTATTAGTGAACGTATTGAAACCTTGATCCAACCCCCTTTGGGAACAAGCCGTGGTGTTGCTAGCAGACAGTGCTACAGCCTATGGGGCCAAGCTCGTTCGAGGCAGATGCGAGCTGCGAACTGCCCGACTTCGTCGCCGCGAGGAATGGCCTTCTTGCTCCCCTAATCTTAATCACTGGAACTCTCAGTCTGGTCCATGATTAAGAGCAAGGCATGTCGAGCTCGTCGTATGAATCTGCAACCATTGCAAGCAGCATCAAAGGAAGCCTGGGAAGAATTGGATAAGGAACACCTGCGTGCAACGTGCGAATGGTGCAAGAAGAGACTCCGGCCTGAATTCGTGCAGGTGGAGGACATTTTGAAATCTGGTTGTTGCATGTTGTAATTTATGATGTTAGTATAATTATGTTTACCAGTTGGGCTGCGCACGATACCGAGCGCGAGAGACGGCTGCGGTGAGTAGATGACTTGTGGGGGATGATACTGACCCGAGTTGCGCAATACATATGCAATCATACATGAACGTATAGAATTTTGGTTGCTGCGACCTCACCCAGTGAATAGTGTGAGAGGTGACCAATTCCGACCCCCTAGGGGAAAACCTATGTATAGTATATAATCCGTATCGGTTGATAGCTCAGAAGTTTTCAACAACAACACTTATGGCAATCAAATCCCGAGCCCATACTTTTTCGGCTTTTCGAGCCGTCTTAGAAAAGAATTATAAATGCAGTGGGATACCCAGTTTACACCTATTTACACCCCGCCAGACTGAGCAATGCTCAGCCAGCTGAAGGGTATTTCATGCACAGAATGAATAGTTTTTTTCTATCATTCTCTTTTTGCTTTGTGCACATGATGATACAGTCACCATCTTCCCATGTTTAGGCCTTCTCGGGTTGCCTTACTTTCATGTATTTGAGAATCTGGAACATGGCAGAAGTGTTACTGATGGGAGTGGTTTGGGTTTTGGGAGTCTAGGTATAACGTGAAAGGGAGGAGAAAGAGGGTGGAAAAATGGGAGAAGTTAAGACAATTGATTGTTTTTCTCGTTTCAAGGCTATTTAATACCGCCATCCCAGTTTTTGATGATTTCTGGCGAAAGAAGTTATCAAGCGTGAAAGTTCCAAATTCGAGGATTTTCCCGTTTCATCAGAGGTATTTGCCCCTATCCGATTGTCTGAGAGGAAATGGGGTGGAACTGAAGTGGGTCGAGTTGTCTCAAATCAAATACTACAGAAACTGTGAACTTGAAGATGACGTCGAGGAATGGGATATGTCAAGTGCTCTGCCTCATTCTGCTAGACTCATTGGGGAGCGGTCAGACAAACAAACTCTGGTTTATATAATATATAATAGTATGATAGGGGGGTGATCTATGGTCTATTCAACCCCCATTACCTGGTTTTTTGGATGTTTTTGGACGAAAAAAACGCCTATTTTTTCACGAAAAATTTTACTTTAAGCGCACGCCCCGCCCACAGGAGGCGGAGTTTAGCATGGCCAATATATTCCAGTTGTAGAGCGGTAAATACCCTATTAAGGCCTTATTTTTTCCCTGTCTTTAGACTGTTCCGAAGCCAAAAACTGCAATTTTTTAAACGAAATTTCGATTTTTGACGCACGCCCCGCCCACTTGGGGTGGAGTTTAGCATGGCCAATATATTCCCGTTGTAGAGCACCACTGGCGGATCTCTTTCACTGAGGGTCCTCTCTCACTGAAAGATCTCGAGCCGGTTGGTTGGTGGCGAGGCTACGTGGCGCGACCCCAGGTGGCGGATAGGGGGTAAATCGCGGACCAAAAGCCACCATGTACTTGCCCTGAGACGCAGGTGGATTCAGGGGATGGACTCCCTGTTTCTGTAGTGCTGTGTCGATTCATACCAGCTTCTCCACTCAGGTGTATCCATGCATGCTTGCGTGTGTGGTGCGCTCTGTGTGTGTGCGGTTGGTATCCTGCATGTCGGCACAGCCAAAAGCTTGCATTCAAGTGACTGGGAAGTACATGGGAGGCGATTCGGGGCCGCCTCCAAAAATAAGCCCCTTGTTCCGCTCCAGGATAGCGTGGCTAACTACCTGGAGGTCTATCCTAGCCCACACGACAGAGCCTGGCAAGCTACTCGTGTGCCTTCAATATGCCGAAGACAGCAATTTGAATGGGCCTCATTCCCCTGAAACTGAGGGAGCCCAGACAGGCGTGACAAAGCCCACTGCCGAGGCGTGCCACTTTGGTTAGGAACCGCCCGAGAATGAGCGCATGCTGACATCTTCAGCAGCCGTTGGTGGGGGAGGCTGACCTAATCGTGAGATGCAAGGACTAGACTAGCGATCTGTACTTTCAACGCACCGACACTTGCGCATCGGAGCTCACTATTGAAAGAAATCGATACGCGGCAAGCCAGACGAGATCAAGTATAACGTCATCGGACTGACCGAGACGAGAAGGCACCGCCCGCTACACGCCGTTTTCGATACTGGAGAAGAACTGTTCCTTGGAACATGCGACAGCAGAGGCGTTTGGCGGTGTGGGTGTCCTCGTCAACACGCACTTGGCCATAAACATCGATTCGTACGAAAGCCTTACGACCCGAATCGGACGTTTGAGATTGAGAAGATGTGGTTCAACTCCTGCTTTGACAATCTTCGTCGCCTACGCACCAACATCCAGCTACGACGAGGAGGAACACGAAGCATTTTATATGGAATTGGAGAAGTTCTACAGGAAGATCATACCTTCTTCAAGGTCATCGTCGGCGACTTCAACGCCAAGATTGGCCCGAGAAGAACGGCTGAAGAACTTCACATCGGTACTCACGGAATGGATTGGAATGAGCAGGGCGAAAGACTGTCTGAGTTTATCATGTCGACCAACACCATCAATCCTTCGTAAACTCGCAGTTCCAGAAGCCCTCTTACCTTCATTGGACTTGAGATCAGACTGCCGATTGGCACACGTTCCATAACGAGATAGACCACGTCATCTTCAATCGAAGGTTTTGCCTTGACCGACCGACGTCGCTGTTGTTCCGAAGTTCTACACGGGATCGGACCATCGTCTCCTCCGCGCAAAGTTCCACTTTTCGATGCGTGTTGAGAGAGCCTCGAAGTTCAGGAAGCGAAGCCCCAGGACAGTCATCAACTGGGATCACTTCACTTCTCTTGTCAGCTTATGGGAGGATTCCGTTATCGAGAACATCGACGAGGAATATCATCGGCTCGTTGAACACCTTCACGAGAGTGGCAGGAAGGCAGAGAGTTTGCAAGTCACCAAAGGACGTCTGTCTACGGAAACTCTCGAGCTGATACGCCAACGTGGAGCCGCACGAGCTGCAGGCAATCACCGAACTCACGTCCGAGCTTGCGAAGCTATGCAGAGAGGCGATAAAGGAAGATCTCAAGGAGCGAAGAGCAGCAGTATTAGCTGAAGCAGCAGAGGCTGGGAGGAGCATCCGCAATGCCCGCCGAAGCTTTGCCAGCTACAAGACCAAGATGACCTGCCTCCGACGTCCGGATGGAACAGTTACTGCATCCCGAAGGGCAATGGAGAAAGTCATCCACGACTTCTACTCGGATCTCTTCGATAGCCATGTCCATCTGCCCACTTATCAACTGCAACAGGATGGATACGTCGTCCCCTCAGTACTCTCTTCCGAAGTCCGACACGCCATCAAGTCGGTGAAGAATCGTACAGCACCCGGTCTCGACAGGGTCAAACCGGAACATCTGAAGAATGCGCCGCCAGTTATCATCAAAACTCTGGCTCGACTCTTCACGCGCTACCTGTCGGAATGCAAGGTACCCACTCCGTGGAAAACCAGCAGGACCGTGTTGCTGTACAAGAAGGGAGACCTGGACGACATTGGCAACTATCGCCCAATCTGCCTGCTGTCTGTAATCTACAAGCTATTCACTCGAGTCATCCTTAACAGGATCGGCAGAATACTAGATGAAGGACAGCCATGCGAGCAAGCAGGGTTTCGAAGAGGGTTCAGCACGATCGACCATATCCACACGGTTACAAGACTCATTGAAGTTTCACGAGAGTACAAGATGCCGCTTTGTCTCACGTTCATCGACTTGAAGAAGGCCTTCGACTCTGTGGAGACAGAAGCGGTCATCGAAGCCTTGGGCAACCAGGGCGTCCCTACTCAGTACATCAAGATTCTTCGTGAGCTCTACAGCAACTTTACGACCAGAATCTCACCATTCTACAAGGAGCGATTCATCAGTGGTCGCATCGATCAACAGAAGAGAGGGGTCCGACAGGGCGACACCATCTCGCCCAAACTCTTCAGCGCCGCTCTCGAGAACGTCATGCGTCAACTGGAATGGGAAGACATGGGAGTGAAGGTCGACGGCCGGCAACTACACCACCTTCGTTTTGCTGACGACATCGTTCTTATAACGCCGAACATCGAGCAAGCGGAGCGAATGCTGGCTGATTTCGACTGCGCCTGTGGTAAGGTTGGTCTACAGCTGAACCTAACGAAGACGATGTTTATGAGAAACGGATTGGTTCCTGATGCCCCATTCACGCTCAACGGAACGAACATCACCGAATGCTCCAGCTACGTGTACCTAGGTCGGGAAATCAATATGATGAACGATCTAGCTCCAGAGCTGAGCAGGAGGAAACGAGCGGCTTGGGGAGCGTTAAAGAACATCGAGGGAGTAGTGAAGAAGACGAAGAACATCCGGCTCCGTGCCCACCTCTTCGATTCCGCTGTCCTTCCTGCCCTAACCTACGCCTCAGAGACTTGGACTCTGCGCAGGCAGGACGAGCATGCGGTCAGCGTTATCCAACGCGCTGTCGAGAGGACGATGCTAGGAGTAACCCTATACACGCAAGTGCAGAGGGGAATCCGGAGTGCCGAACTACGCCAACGATCGAAGATCAGGGACGCTGCCGTTTTCGCCAAGGAATCGAAGATAAGGTGGGCCGGACACGTCATGCGATTTTGCGATGACCGTTGGACCAGAGCGGTTACCGACTGGATCCCTCGGGACGTCAAACGAAGACCTGGACGACCGCCGGCCCGATGGTCAGACTTCTTCACGAAAGCTCTGAACGAAAGGAATGAAGGACACCGTGTCCCTCGAGCGAGGAGGGTCCACTGGACAACTCTTGCACGCGACAGGGACGAATGGAGACGTTGCTGGCGCCCGCTCGAGCAATTCGATGATCAACGGGACGACAGGTGATACAGGTGATGATATAGGGGTGATCTATGGTCTATTCAACCCCCATTTCCTGCTTTTTGGATGTTTTTCGACGGAAAAAACGCCTATTTTTTCACGAAAAATTTTACTTTAAGCGCACGCCCCGCCCACTGGAGGCGGAGTTTAGCATGGCCAATATATTCCCCTTATAGAGCGGTAAGTACCCTATTAAGGCCTTATTTTTTCCCTGTCTTTAGACTGTTCCGAAGCCAAAAACTGCAATTTTTCAACGAAATTTCGATTTTTGACGCACGCCCCGCCCACTTGGGGTGGAGTTTAGCATGGCCAACATATCCCGTTGTAGAGCGGTAAGTACCCTATTAAGGCCCTTATTTTTTCCCTGTCTTTAGACTGTTCTGAAGCCAAAAACTGCAATTTTTTTCAACGAAATTTCGATTTTCGACGCACGCCCCGCCCACTGGAGGCGGAGTTCAGCATGGCCAATATATTCCCCTTAAGAGCGACTCATACTCTACCCATTCCAAACTTGACCCGCCCTCCCTAGGTGATTTTTGAAGGAAGAATTATAAACATGTGGGGGACACTTGCGAATTTTTGGGGAGCGGTCAGACAAACAAACTCTGGTTTATATATTAGTATGATGATATTCAATTACCATTCTGTGTCCAACAGTTTAAAAGTCATTGCAATAAGTAGGCGCAAGTGATTTTGGGACACCCTGTATAAATATAGTATAGTTCTTACTGATAAGCGGCTTGACGCTCAGATCAAAGCCCGAGTGTTCAACACCCATGTCCTACCAGCTTTGGTGTACGGAAGCGAAACATGGAGCACGATAAAAGATGAAGAAAGAAAACTGGCATCAACCCAAAGAGCAATGGAACGAGCGATGTGCGCTGTGACGTTAATGCATAAAATTCCTGCTCGTGAAATTCGAAGGCGAACCGGTGTCAAAGATGTGATTGAGACTATCTACGATTCAAAGAAGCGATGGGCAGGACATGTAGCTCGTCTTAGCGATAACCGTTGGACATCCCGAGTGACCGATTGGTATCCCCGCGGAGTAAAAAGGCCGCAAGGAAGACCCCCAGCCAGGTGGAGTGATCCTTTTAAGAAATTATTTGGACAGAGATGGCAACAAATGGCAAGAAATCGAAACGAATGGCATAGATGCGTCCTGCAAGCTTGGCGATCCTTGAAGAGCGGAAATCATTGTTTTCAAGTATAACCCCGAAAACTTCGTGCGTAATTCGAAAATACTTCTTCCGTTTTACTGTACTATGCTGCATTTATTTCAATGTAATGGCTGTCCTCAGATATACACTGCTCTGGATAAATCAACACAACAATCCGATCTGGAAAGCAACAGTTTTTCATCCTTAGTTTTTGGAAAAAAAAATTCGCTGTGCCCGTCCCGCAAAATGAGGCTTTCATCGTTTTGTTTTTCCGCTGCATTTATTTTTGCCTGACGGATGGCAGTTGCATCCCTTACAGTTTTTTCAGTAGTGGCAAGCGTTATCCGACATCCATAGAGGGAAATTTCTAACGAAAGAGGCGCAAAAAAAAGCCGGACTGTCAGTTCACGCTAGCATTTGGTCGGGCTCACTTTATTACGTACAATTTTCTCAAAAAACCCTGCAGAATACAATACATCATACATTAAGAAGCCTGGTTGCCAACCGACCGCGAGAGCGTCGTTTCAAATTCACCCCTGTCGCCCAAATGATCATCGACTTGCTCGAGCGGGCGCCAGCAACGTCTCCATTCGTCCCTGTCGCGTGCAAGAGTGTGTCCAGTGGATCCTCCTTGCTCGAGGGACACACAGTTCTTCATTCTTTTGTTCAATGCTTTCTCGAACAGGACCGACCATCATGTTGATGGTGGTCCAGGTCGAGTTAACTCAAGAAATGGAAAGAAAAAGTAGTTGCTTTTTCAAGTTGGAACATTTTGTTGATACTTTAAGCTTTTTTTGTGCATCACATCTCCACTCTACAGCGTTTTCTGAGAACACTTCGGATGCGAAATTTTGTATGTGGAAGTATCCCTGTGCGGAGGAGTACAGTATTTCAGGCCGCAATCCTTTGACTCTCTACGCTGCAGTTGCGTGATATTGTGGTGGTACAGTGTGCCAGTGTAAATGAAATGGCTCAAGAGTAACAACATTGGTTTGATCTGCAGGAAATCGATCCAGGACGACATTTCAGCCTTTCATATTTCAAAGCCAAAGCTCTCAGCAGTTTCGAAGCAACATGCAGAAAAATTTAAAATCCAAGACGCCAGCTTCGTCTTACGTTCACTAGTGATTCTTTATTTAACCCATTCGTGACAATGTCAGCCACCGGTGGCTGACAAAGCTCTCACTCGGGACAATGGCATTACTGTGGCTGCAGGGCTTTCAAATGGAATTTGGAAAGTTTTCTTCCATGAAAGAATCTTCATACCCTCGCTCATCTACGCCAGCCCTGGGCAGAGGAAATCTCCCTCCACTCAAATTTTATTGAAGAAAAATCTCCTGACGCTGCTGCTATTGCGCAATCCTGCGCGGTCGCGAATGGGTTAAGAGCAACCCTCTGCATCCAAACGTGTTTGCGCTTCGATCAAGGTACCGTGAACACTGGATTCCCGTCTCACTTCATCTCTACCACACTTTCTAAAAACGTGTTCTCAATGCTTTAATTCCTTTCACGATGTATACTGTACCTCCATACTTATTTCATAATATGATATTGCTTTTTTATCGCCGCCATAACCCTCCATTTCCTAAAGGTTTCGAAAGCAGAAGCCCAACGGCTTGCGTCTAAGAAACCAAACAATACAAAGATCCAAGTCGTGCCGTGCCTAGTGAAGGTTCGCATTTCGAAACTTTGGTTCGAGGTGCTTAAATGGTCGTCATGATCACGACGTGGCACGTGAGAACAAAGAAACCTATTCAACTGTCAACAGCAACAAAGCACGGAAGCTGCAGTGGGAGATAAGCGAAGCATAAAAGGGTAAAGGTGGATTGACGATGAAAGATTCCTTCTGGAAATGCGCCACACATTCCACACACATCATTTTTCAGACGCCTAGATATAGCCTATGCGGTGGATTCAGGTTCCACTCATGTGAAAAATTCTCAACCTACCAATCCTGGCACCTTTTGAGCGACTCTAGAGTGTGGAACCAATGACAAGCCCACACGAAATTCGATACAGCCACCTGCTGCTACATCACCTTAGCCCTCTGTCGTACAATCAGGAGAACAAAGTAGCAGGCTCAGAAGCTTATCGATCCATTCAATTTTCCGGAAGAAAAAAAAACAAAGAAGTAGTATATGCAAATCTTGTTTCTCCTTTTGACCTCGAAGCTCAAATATGCTCACCTCTTCAAGGCGAATTATAATAGAACACTAGGTTTATAATGTACCGGAGGTCATTTCCCAAGCGGATAGTAGAAGATTGTAAATGGCACTGTTGACTTGTGCGATAAAATTGTCTCCACGGTGGTGTGGAGAAACAACTCTCCGTGATGGTGTGGAGAAACAAGTATGCTGGCGGGGACTGAATCCCTGGGGACTGGACTGGCTCTCTAACCTACCTAAGTGTTCATAACAAGAAGGGATGTCGCAGTCGAGAACCTTGAGTTGCAGTCGACTGCGGCAAACAAATCGTTGGCCACCACCACGATGGTAATCCCCACGGTAAACGATTTCTATTCGATTCGAGACAATTAAACGTTTCGCGCACAATTTTCCACGTTCTCACCCTCTGGAATATATCGCTCGACCGAATTTTCTACCGTCACTTTCAGGGCTCGAAAGCTGCCATTTCGTGAGTTTTCAAGTGCTTGTTAGATCTGTGGCTTTGTCTGTGTCTTTACACGTTGAGGCAGCACGCAGTAGGCCATATTTGCAGGGAAGATTTGTGTGGGAACACGTGTTTGTTTGCAGAAGAGTACAACGAGAGTGCTCGAAACGTTTCGCAAGAGAAGTCTTGTAAATCTGTCAACGCTTCCTAGGACAACGAATAGGCAGGCATGAAATCCTTCGTAATCACGCAAACTTCAAAGCCCACACCATGATCAGATTACATAATTCTTGCGAACAAAAGAAAGGAGCGTAGTGCTGAAATACTATCCAAATGACTCAGCATACGAATCCCATTATGACAGGAAATAGGGATTGTACGTGAAAAATTGGCAACATCGGCCAGAGATGGAGAGGACATATGCATTCAAATTGTAGGGCACATCTCAGATAGACGGTGAGCCAGCACGTAAAAGTATTAAATATTCTGCTAAAACTCCGGGTCCATACAGTATATAGGTATAAATCCTACGGAGGAATCCGAGCAGTTTTTCTATATTGCCGCATATTGGGAATAGGTTATGGAATTAATGTGCGTCCAGGTCACGCAAGACCAAGAGTTAGGCAAGGGTTACGGCGAATGCACTTAGCGCACGACGTACCCTGTACGATATTCCGTCATCTATCTTTCTCCGAAAATAGAACAATCGCTGCAGTTCTTGGGAAGATTTAGGGGAGTCCTGAGTGTTTCGAATATTTCTTCAAAAATGTCACACCCGGAAACCGGAAAACGAAAGATTGTGCCAAAAAAGAAGTCCCAGCGTTCGCTTGTTTGGCGTTTGACGCCGCCTATATTAAACTAAGTGCCCGCAAACCCGGGCTAGAAAAAATATTGAAGATATTTTCTTTTTGATAGAGAAAAAGACTAATACTGAAAATTTCCTCTTCTTCGTTTACTCTTTTCCTGCTCACTCCCCTTCGCAGCCCTCACGATAAAAAGCCATTTCTAGCAATTTCCATTAAAAAAAACAGATCAATGCTCTTCTAAATCACACCTGAATACCGATCGGGAATGTATCTTGGCCGCATCGGTTTCGTATTCTCAGCTTGAACTCCCCGCGGTCTTCTATTCGTAGACGTCTGATGGTCAGAACTGTGCTCAGTCCGACGTTTTGTATCTGATGTAGTAAGACTCATTTGAGGCAGAAACCAGAGGAAAGCCGCAGACATACTTCGAATCGCTCAGAATCGCTGATCGGCTGGCCGTTGTTGTCCAGCCATTCCACCGACGGCACTGGGCGACCTGAATGGAGGTGTTGTAGTGAGAGTGCAGAAACAACAAAATTTCATTCTCCCCAATTTGCGCCTCACGTTTGTTATGCCTCTTGACCTTCTATTTCATTGCATTCGTATACATATTCATTGCACATCGTGGATTAATCCAACCATAAATGGCTCAAAAGGGCACTGTAAGTGCAGTCTCTTAGTATAGTTACTGTACACTTTATTAGAGTCTGAATTCGAGAATACATTTTCAAGGGCTTCCACTTGGTCGTAGCTGCCGCTTGAAGTAAAGAGTTGAATTGGTTCACACGTAAACACGAACGCGGCCACTAACCGGCTCTGCTCGTACTCAATTTTCCATACGATGCGAGGGATTGGCCAGAGAAATTGCACGCTATTAAGAGTTACCGGAGTCTCTAAACTGCCTGAGCCTTTATAAGGTTGCCAAAACATTGTCTCCAGAAGCGATAAATGAGCAAAATTAATGGGGATAAATTGTTCATATACAGTAGCGGTCAAAAGTGTTCGCCGGAACGAATTTTAGAACATTATTTTTCTTGCTTGAGCAACGCCCTTAAAAGATTGATATGCAACGTTTTCTAGTGTTTTTATATCTTTTGACCGCTACTAAAGGTCCAGCAAATCCCACTGCCGTAGATTCCAGGAAAGAGGTGTTAAATGAAATGAGGACAATTCGGTGCGCGAGGAATTTGTCGAGGGACGGGGCGGAGCGAAGAGTTGGCAGTGCGCCACCGCGGCTTTTCATACTCTCGTGATTTTAATTGCTCAACGAACTCCTCGAAAATTCCTCTTCGAAACAGGTGTAATTTTTAATTTCTCTATTCTACAGTTCTCCGCTTACAGCGGTTCATCAGCCATCATGCCGACTATGTGAGTTTTTTTCCTCGAATTTGTGCCCATTTCCACTTTTCCTGTTTCCTGTCAACGTTTATCGCTTAGGCGAACGCAGGCGATCGCCCGTCGTCAATCCTTTTGAGAGATTAGCGATACTACATGCGAAGAAGCAGCCCAGCCTATGACACCACCAGTGTTGGGGAGCTAGGGAGTAATTTTGCGCGGCACTTGGGCCAGTACTCCATAAAATGCGCACTTACTGGGATGTACCGAAGGTGCCTTGGCACAGCGCGAAGGAGCAAGAAGAACGAACGCGTGCCTAGACAATGCTAAACAATCAGATCCGGAGTGGCGCAAAGACCACATGAGCTTCTCAGCACATCTTGCTTCGAATCAATCAAACTAACGAAGAGCGCAAAAAGGGCCACCATTTCGTGCGTTTCTTCAGCGTTCTTACTCGATTTCGATTCCCTTGGCAAAGGCGACGTGAAATTGGTCGTCTTAGATCCGTCAAATTGATTCCTTCAAAAAAACTGTTGCTCGCACAGCGTTAAGAATGCATTCAGAACATGAATGTCTGAAAATGTCGAAAATTGCCGCAAAACGTTTGAATAGGCTCAGGGAAGTGACCTCGTGCTTCGCGAACTTTGTGGAGCACATGATGGATCTTCTCGAAATGCAGGGGAGTTTAAGAAGGGGCACTTCTAAGAGGATGAAATTTGGTGTCAAATGTTAAAGAGACCTGAACTAATAGGAACTCTTTGGAAGCGGACTAGTATAAGCGAAAATCCACTCAGGATGATGGACCTCTGAAAAAGAGCACTCTTGGTTTGACTCCCCAAACGTCGTGCGTGACAATGTCGATTTCCCTATAGGGCAATTTCCCACATGCTTTCCTACATGCTGATTCTGCTCGTCATTTTACGATGACCGCAAGACTCACAAGTGAATTATGCTGAGTAAATGCAAGTAAAAATGCGTGGCGCCTAGAGTGGGCATAAAGGAGAGGTGACAAAATTGAATTCACTCGAATGAAACGCTCCTCGGCCACTTCTCGACGGGCATAGTAGACGAAATTTTGTCGTTCATACTATATGAGTGCGAATGGGTCTTATTACGTGAGTGTGTGAGTTTCTACGCCATCATTGTTTGCGTTTTCCGACGGGTGGCTTCTCGAAGGGCGAATTATGTCGGACAAAAACTCCGGAAATAACGATGATCGAGGAGCGGAAAACGCACTCCAATCGAGTCGTTATCCGCATATCCCCTAGTCATCCGTTCCGAACGGAACAAGTGCTCTATCATTCCTATGCCGTCTCTCAAAGAAGGCCAAGTATTAGTTATCTGGCTGCCTGAGCTGTCTGTGAATTGCTCAGATGGAGTGCTTCAAAACGCATTCCCCAGGGCCACTCTCTTTCTTTTTTGTTCGAAAGCGCTTCCCGTACGCATCTATCAAGGTACCTACCACCCGGGTAATGAAATTTCAGAACTCCGTTGTGCTGTGTCACATGCCACACAATGAGCAGTTGTTTTCGCTTCTGTCAAAAGTCCTCTGATTTTCGAAAGTTCTCAAAGGGAAATGAACGGGTTGAAGACTTTCAGAAGTTCTCAAGGTGTTTGAATAGAAAATTTACTTTCTTGAAGTTGCGTCTGAGCTGGATTTTCGGCTTCGATCAGCTTCTTTCCGAGATGCTCCACGCATTCAACTTTCATTCTGAGTCGTAATGCCATTCGAGTGTATTCGGCTTATACTTTGAACTACGGACACCTGCTGAGGCAATGAGCACTTTTCAATCTTCTAAAGGTTGCTAACAATTTAGCAATACCGTAGGAATGGTTGCTTGCTAGAAAGGAATCGATACAGGATTTAATTTCAAGTGAAGATATTGAGTTCGAGGGTTCATACTGGCGTTTCCACCATAACATAGTTACCGATGCAGCTTTTGCCCCTCATTCATGAACGTCCTTGGGAATAATAATCAACAATCTGACTCCGAAATGAGCCCCAACATCTCAGTGCTAGTGCGATTTTGGTGTAGCGAAGATCCAAGACATTGAGAAATGGTAAAAGGCCATAATTTAACTGCAACCACATCTTGTTATTCGCCTTGAGAAAATTGTTCGATGAACTGGATGGGTATAATTCGTTCAGGCTATTTCTAAGGAAAGTAAGCTTTAAAGTAACTCCAACGATGAGACCAACAAACAGTCGTCAACCGCATTCCTGTCCCATATTTACCCGCACACGACAGAACGCGAAGCTCCTCTTCGTCCCCCCTGGGAGGGAGAATAGAGTTCGAGTTTCGTCTCGAACTATCCTGACGACGCGTAGCTCGTGAATGAATGAATGCTTCTGTGTTTAGGCTGTCCCCATGGTAGAAGACAGCATGGATATTGAAAGTGATAACTTTGGGCTTCGATTAGGGGCGAAAATTGTCACATTACCCGATGAGGAGATGGACTTTGCCTGCAGGCAACGCTTTCCAGTCATTGAATCGGCGAGGTTTTTCGATTCCCTGATATGTCTAAATTATTCTGTCCTATCAGCTGGTGCGTGAAGCTTTTGCATAATGAAATTGCTTTCGACAGCCCTTCTTCCTCAACTCTGAAATTTACTGAAAACTGTTACAGAAACTCGAGGTACTGCAGCATAGTGGTATCCAACATTCCGCTAAAAATATTCTAATTTCTCTAGTAGAAATAGAATTGTTCATGAGATTAGCCTCGTATATAAGTAGGTATATTTGTAGAAAGTCGCTAGAACTCCACTAACTAACACCAAGTCCTTGTGAACAGGTGCGGATCTAGGGCTTCACCATCAGAGTCGAAGTTCATGAGAAAAGCAAAAAAGGAGTCCAAGGCCACGTAATTGTTAATGGACAGCATAGCAAGAACGAAGCCATATTTATCAAGGTGAAAAGCAGTAATTGTGGTTAGAACAGTACAAAGAGCACCATCAGCTTGGACACAAATTCTCTACCCACAGATTGACCTTTGGATATGGGTAGGAACTCGTTACATCTTCTTATTTCTTAACTTATTTGACTGGATTTTATTTTGTGCAACCGCAAATCGTTCTGGCACCGAATAATTATTGATTATTAGGGATTCTTCCTTTTTTATAAAGCTATTCCAGATGCATATATCTTCTTCTCCCCACCACGATGTCCGCTGTACAGGGTGGCTACTAAATATTGGCGCATGGATTGTTGACCATATTTTTAAAACGAGAAGCTTTTACATCTTCAGAGGTTTATCTTTATATACCTTATAACATGGCAGTACATTGCTAAAGAAAGTGCTCGAGATGGCCTCCTTTGGTAGCGATACAGGCTTCAAGTCTCTTCTCAACTGACATCACTGTGGGCCGCAAGTAGCTGACGTCAAGCTCCTTCCACGCCTCCTCCAAGGAAGCCTTCAGGAGTCCAAACTTCGACGTTGCTCAGAAGGCATCTTCTGCTTCAAGAAGCCCCACACCGCCAAATCAATTGGTTCAAATCGGGCGACTTAGATGGCCAAACATTTTGTGCCCGGTAACTTGGAAAATGACGGTCACAGTTCTCCAACATTGATTTTGCGGCATGTGGAGGCGCCCTGTCTTGCTGAAGAATGCAATGACGTTCGCTGAAGGTCAAAAGAGTCCTTGGAAGAAGGGCATTACGTGAAAATTGTTTCCGGGTAGATCTGGGCGCTGGCTTTGATGTATTCATCCACAAAGACAAGCGGTGTCATGGTTTCAGAAGTAATTCCTGCCCAAACCATGACAAATTTGAAAAACGGTTCCTTGTGTGTACACAAGGTCGAGCAGAATGTCTGCTAGCCAGATCCAACAACTGCCTGTCGTTTTGCAAATCGTGCGCCACTTCTGGTCTGAAGATCTACTCACGTCACGCCGACGTCAGCTACTTGCGGCCCACGGTGATGTCAGTTGAAAGAGACTTCAAGCCTGTATCGCTACCAAAGGAGGCCATCTCGAGCACTTTCTTTGGTAATGAATTTTCATGTTTTATTGTATATAAAAATAAACTTCTGAAGATATGATAGCTTCTCTTTTTGGAAATATGATCAATAAACCATGCGCCAATATTTAGTAGCCACCCTGTAGTCAGACGGTTGACATTGCTCCTATCAAAGATATCTGCCGTAGCTTTGATTGAGTGCGGTCCTTTTCGAAGACATCTTCTGAATTTCTTCCGAGGTTATTCTGAATGTTTGCCCTAGTTGCGCTATACGTGTAGCCCTGTATTATGGGATAACTGCCTTGGCACGTCCCGCTGTTCACGGGTCTTCAGTTGCACGAGCTAGAGTCGATTGAGCTGAGTCTGCAAGACCGCTCTAACGTCCTCCTTTCTGGTCAGGTCGGCTTCCAGTAGTACATGTGGCTAGCCTGTCCCAGCATGTTGTTTATGCAAGGTGAAGCTGCCTTCATGGTTCCATAGCAGAGCCGGTAAGCAGCCGAAAAAGTTGCGGCAGTGAGAGCGACGATGATGCAGGAGGCGGGTATCGGATGCTGACAACGATTACTTAGAGTTTGTTTGAAGAGAATCCGCACAGAACCTCCTGAAAGCCGTCTTGTGAACTATTCATTCCTAGCGGGTTTGACCTTTTGCAACTATTATATAAAGGGAGGTTGGAGGGTCAAAAAGTCATAGCAGGAATTTTCGCAAAAAGTGTTTCAAGCGTTTAAAGTGTCGTCTGCCCTGTTTCTATGGAAACAAACCATTTCCCGAGCGGATTGTAAAATAAGATAGATAACCGCGGCAGATGGCGAGCTCAACGGTTTAGCAGCGGTAATGTTCCGCTGCTTTTCACAGGGACTGTACGAAAAGGCACCATGATCGTTTGAGTGATTCCACTTAGGTCTAAGCGAACTATTACAGTGTTCAAATTAAGCATTCCAAAATTACGGCGAAATAGGCCTAAAACGGTAATATAAGTCCTCGGTGTGACTGGTATCGCACAACGCGCCATGCTCGAGTTCAACGAGTCACACGACCCCGTCACACCCTCGTCTTCCTACTACAACCTTTCGGAAATCTATACAGATCCTATAATAACAATTAACTCCGTGATGAAGGATTCCGCCAGCTCATCGGTCCCAAATAGCCACTATCAGATATTACAAGCGGTGGAAGCAAAAGCATCCTTCG